TTGTCACACATCAAAAGAAGTCTTCGAAAAAGGAAAATGTGAGATGTCCCTTGCACAAATACAATATGAATTTCGATACGAATACGGATCTTGGCTCGACCCCTCTCTCGCTTAACCGCTTTTTCATGAATCATCTCAGTGTCATGGCGGACGAATAACTCCAGTCAATGCACATTTTATCATAAAAACTCAGTAGTCTAATAGATAGCGGTATGAGCTCCGAATCGAACGTCGTCGGTTCAGATCTCGGCGAAATCTCTTATCAAACTCGTACATGTATAAAACCGCAAGTACTCCCTAAGCCACTTACGAGGAACCGTCAAGCTTAACCGATGCGTTGAACGGTCTCAGCCCCGCATCCCTGGACTCCCGCACTGCATTATTGATCGCCGCAACCCTCTCTAGCCCTATAAGGCCCCGCCAATGCGCATACTTATCGCCTAACACCATACCACTCCATCCTCACTTCACCACACCAACACCTACTGTAGTCGCTGAAAGCCTCACACTTCACCGAGTCTAGAAAGCTCTCTAATGCGGTGGCAGCATATGCATGATCTGAATAAGAAGACAATATTCCCATCACCGAGAATCATCTACTGTATGCTATAACACCCCTTCTGCCTCCTGTCAAACATCCCGCGCTCTAGTACGTATACTCATAAGCAACAATACAGTGCGTGTCAATGTGCTATGCGAACATTAAAAATATCAGCTATGCTCCAATAATGGCAATAGTGAACAAGTTGGTGCTATTTCAGTCCCAAACGGTACTCCTATCACATCACATATTTGATTTTATGTGATACAGGGTCCGATCGATTCTTATCAACCTCATAAAATGTCACATATCTCTTACATTCGGACACCAAACGGACACACACTGTAATTTTATATGGCACCATCGTAAACCCGAACTCCATTTTACAATAGAACGCGAACTGGCGCTCCACGCCAAGTTCGTATCGAGCAAATCGCGATGCGATAAGAAGTCAAAGCGCTTAGCGAAATACACCTCGCAATTGAAGTCATATCTCCGAGAACGCGTTGAACATCTCGCGAAAACGACAGATTGATCGCGAAAACATGGGGTGCAAATCGCGTTCTACACATCATTCAACTCGTGTTTGCCACAGTGACTATCGTTTTTCGCGGAATGAAAGGCGGTGATAAAGGTAGCATATAGCGACCTCGGGGAAAGAAGTCACGACTATCGCCCTATCGCAAAACGAATATACGGACAATATCGCGAAAAATCTGATTCATCACGCGAAGTACCCAGTGTGAATCACGTTTAGCACCCACTCCCAAAAAACACGCGTTTATCTTAAAGTTACGCGTTAAACACCGAGTAGGGGCAATGCATCCTCCAATATTATCATCACAAATTACACTCACTAACACCGAATGAACGCCACACCCACCTGATAAATTCGCGCACTCATCTACCATACTTTCCCACAAGTATACCGGTACACCGCCAGACCTCTCACATCCTAAAACCACGACGACCATCCGACCAACTAACCCTCCTCTCGGTGCTCACTTCGCTTCAACTGACCTACAAATTCTTCCAGCATGCCCGACTCACACGAGGCGAGTACTGAGCGCCACAAATGCACTAGAAAAAGCGGCCAAGCGTGAACCTTAAAACCATGAGTCTCGAGACGACACTCACCGCAGGACTATGTACTTACCGGGCCGCTCTGAATCAGCGATGTCGCTAGTCGGAGCCCCTTGTCCACTTCCCCTCGATCAAGGGCGTCATTGACCAGTTCACTCTGCTGCCAGACTAGTGAGGGAATAGGTTGAACGCTACCGTATTGCTCAAGTATAGACAGACCTGAAAAATACTTCTAACATCTCACCAAGGAGCGACCGTAGGGGGGGGGAGGTCAAAATTTTCCTCATTTCGCATTTGCCGTAGCAACCAATATCGGCTCAACCGCGCCACAGTTACAGTGTATATACTTTCTGAGGCATTATTCAAACTCCTAAGAGAAATTTTCACCACTTGCTGATGAAAATTTCACCACACTCTACAAAAGCACAACCGAATCGCATCGCCAGGCACCATTATTCTTGTTCTTGCGTGCGCTAACATCGAGGACTATAACATCCCCCTCATCCCACTCACATGCCGCTGCTTTCGCTGCCATTCTAGTGGGTCCGTCTCCTT